ACCCTGGGCCAGTTATTTCACCTGCAAAAATCCTGTTCTCTCTGTAAAACTGGATCCTCAGAGCGTCCGGTTTCCTCCCAGAACACCCGCTATGAGGGTAAGGCGAGGTGGTCCATTGGAAGCCCCTGCCCATGCCGACCCGCTAGCATGGGGCCTGGCACATGCTTATTCATGTCGACAGTGCCCGTTTCTGATCTTTACACTGAGGCCGGTCACACCTCGTTGGCAGGATTAATGACACAGTGTGTCTCAAATGCTGATCACTGGCAACCAGGTGTTACTCCTTGATGCAAAGGAATAAGCACGCGAGCCTGCCAAGGCCCAGACAACTGTGGGAAGTTTGATACTCAGTCTCATACAGTCCCTGTGAATTGGGAAGCTTCTCTCCGCAACAGCACCAGCCCCAGCCACCTCCCAGGTTCTCAGGAACCTGGCTTTCCCGAAGGCGCCCGTGAGCAAGAAGGTGTGGAAGCAGAGGTGTTATTCCTCCGATCGCTCGGGCAGTCCTCACCGTCCACAGGGCTCCGGCCTTCGCAGAAAAGCTCTACCCAGGGGTTTTCTCATTGCAGAGGTTCAACTTTCCTTTACAGATATTTTTTTCACATGTTAAAAAAAATATTTCAGTTAGGGACCAACATTTAAAAACGGAATGTTTCAAACCATGCTCTCCATTTGCCACAGTTCTCGGCCTCTCCAGGGCCTCAGCCACCCTCTTCACTCTCCCCCTCCCCGGCCTCACCCGCCCTCCCACGTGAGTGCACATCCCCTCCCTCCCAGCCAACTCCCCACCTTGCCAATAGCTGGCACTCTGGTCATAAATAACCAGCCCCGCCGACGTGGCACAGAGACAAGCCTGACAGCACACCAGGGACTCCCTGGGAAGAATATATGCCTCACTGAATGGTATTAAATAAAAGTCATGGAAAGAATTATAAGTGATTAAAAAATTAATTTGGGTCATCACTTGGCAGGCTGCACAGTGTCTAGGAGATGGGAGATGGCTCCCTCCGCCTCCACGAGGTGGCCGGGCGCCCTCCCAAGCGGAATGTGTGCCTCTCTGTTGCTATTTGCAGAACTGGCTCTACAAGAAAACTCAACAGGGGTGGTGGCTGGAGGGGGGCAGGCCCTTTGCAGCGGGAAGCCTCTGCCGCCTTAATTAACAGGCAGTCTCTGACCACCACCAAGCCAAAGCAAACATTTCCTTCTGACATGCATTTAAAAATTAATGGGGGCAGCAAATAGTTTTTAGAGCTTGATAAAATATTTAAGGAGAACCGCTCCCTGAGTTTTAAGCGAGGATGAATCAAATCTAGACTACCTCTCACTTTGCACACATTTAATATTCACTCGTGTATTTCCTGACGGAGAAGCGTTTAATGCCAAGCACTATATGGTTGGCACTGGGGACTTACTCCTCTTTGGTAGATGAAGACCAGCCAGACCCAAAGCAGTAGAAATGCCTTCCTTGGCCTCAGCCTGGCTGGTCCAGGGTTGTCCCCTGGTCCCAGGTTCCTTTTATGATTGTGTGTGGGGTGGGGGAGGGGGAGACTTGTCTTCTTCCTACAGGACAGCGTAGGACAGCATGGCAGTGACCACCTGTAGCTGGGAGTCGGGAGCAGACGTTTTCCATGGGGCAGTGTCAGCCCCAAGGGGGCAAAACACTTTTTTTGGGGGGGGGGGGATGGGCAAAAGCTATGCTTTTGACATGGCTACACTATAGAACATAAAGACACAGACACTGGTGTAACTCCTTTTTGGCGTTGGCCCCAGGCCACGCACGTTTGGCCTTGCTGGCTCCGCAGGCCCAGTTCGAGGTTGCTCTTTGCTGCTCGCTCTGCTCTCATCCCACTCGTTTTCCTTCAGCCCCACATGCAAGCT